AACGTGAAGCGAACAGTCTACCATACTCATTACCGCCATTATTTTATAAGAATTCGTCGATTGTAGTAACAGTGACGTAGAATTGCACTATTTAACGTCAAAGATCGTAAGTAAGCTTGAAAAAACATGCTACAAGCCATTCACGAAAGAAACTGATGAGCAGCACAAGTAAAGTAGTATACTAATGTAGATTGAGAGTAATCGATCCGGCCAACCAAGTGCCAGGAAAACTGCTTACGCAAAGCGCTTCAACATTGCCAGATATAGCCCCAAGACAGGATGAGCTAAAATCGCAATTCCAGCACACAGCTCACCGGCACCCATGCGTGAACCACGGCCATACCAGAGATCCAGCAATAACAGGCATCCAGAGCCGCGGATCACCTCGCCCAGCACTCCTCTCCCTTGCGCGATCGTTCTTTAGAGGCGGAGCTCGAACGCAGTTTGCAAACTGCGTAGCAGCCCGCGATACACACAAATAACGCGATACGACGTGCAGACCGAGTTCTACGCAGCCGAACTGCAAATGGCTGGCGGTTTGCCCAATTTTTACGGTGGTCGCCGGGTAGTTTCAATCGCGCGACGTGGACCGCGGGCTTTTTAACGGTTCGTGTCACACAATTGGTAGCAAAGGGGAAGTCCACATTGAGATAGTGGTGTTTCTTTTTTCTGCTTTCCTCCTTGTGTTCTTGCGTTTTCGTCTCGTTGGTTTCGTTTTTTGCGCTAGTCGGAGTGTTGATAGTTTCAGCTTCACCAATGTCGGATACAGGACGTAGCCCTCGACCCGCAGGCTCCCAACTGAGACAACGACGTGGCGGCGGTTGGTTATTTTCTTTATCTGTTTATTTCCTTCATTGTGAAAGGTCACTGCGTTTCTAGCAATTTATTTCTTCCGCAAAAAATGGTAAACCTCTTTGGTAAACCTAGCCCAATAGTATCAAGGTCTTCGTAGGTTCTGACACAGGTTTAGTTGTCCAGCTTAGATCGATAGTTAATACAATGAGAGGTTTTTGTATCCTATTTGCTCAGTATCAGAAGCCTCGACTCAAAAGGGTTTCAAGCATTCACCACAGTTAGTATATGCCTTGGGAATTTGTAAATTTATTACGGTCGGGGCTTTAAATACGCGCGAAAAATTCTACCAATACATTTTGAAAACCACTTCCTCTGGGGCCGTATGCTGAATGTTGGGTAGGGGACGGGGATGGGTGAACGTTGGGGAGGTTCGTCGCAGGACCCTTCTGGGCAGCTGTCGCACCTTTGATTTTGCAGCTTTGTTTTCACCCTTTTACTGTTTCTGATTGTATATTCGCACGTAAATATCTTTCTTCATACCAAAAGCAGCGATGAAAGAATACAAACAGAGCTGCAATATTGAAGGTGCGACAGCTGCCCAGAAGGGTCCTGCGACGAACCTCCCCAACGTTCACCCATCCCCGTCCCCTACCCAACATTCAGCATACGGCCCCATAGCGACCTTCTATAGTTATATCTTTCTCCATCAGAAAAGCTTTTTATCCCGATCAAGACTGACCGTAACCTTCATTAGGCCGACCTTTCTGTGCTTTCACCTTCTTCGGAACCTCTCTAGAGAGATTGTGTACACAGGAGGTCCACTTGCCGTCTCGAGCTGGTAGTAGCGCGTTAAATAGATAAAGCTTTAAGATTTGCTTAAGGCACCTCCTGGGGCTAATAATATAGATCAAATCGCTTCCATCGGAGTGTATATCCGAATCTAGTTACGTACTAGAGTTGATATCTGTTTTTTTTGTTGGGGGGGGGGGGGGGAAATTGCGATGTCCTGGAATATCTGGGTGTGAGGGAGTGGGGGGAGGAGAGGGGAGGGGGTGATGATAGGAAATTGAGCTGAGCAGCCCGTACTCGACATGTGATGTATATGAAGACCTCATGCTAGGCTGGAGATGAAACGGTGATGTATTGGAAGAAAGATTGTGTTTTTGGTACATCACAAGGTACCAGAACAAATGTAGAAGCTGGAAAATGGATATACCTAGTTCCGACTATTGGAAGAGTTTTGCGTCGTAGGTAACAGACAGTTGAGCCTTTTGCACCAACTAACAAACCAAGTGTGTTTGCCACCCTATATATGCTATATTTTTGACGCAACTATCAGAAGTGTTTTATCCTGTCTTCGATTTAATTTCCCAAGGCAGTGATGCCAATTTTAGATAGGGCTATACAGACGTTCAGTCGAGCAAGAACTATTTGCTTTGGATTGCCGCGCTACCATGAAACAGTTCAGCTCATCTGATCTTAGGGAATCAGTACTTAATAACATTGCTTTTCTCTACTCTTTCCTTCAGTGTTCCCGAGTGAATTCCTTTTGTCAAACATCTCGTGACCTCTGCCACACATTAGGTTACGATTTAGTAGCGAGTTGAGGTATTATGGAAGGCGGAGATAGCTAAGGAGTGACGCACGTGTGGTTTTTCGCCTCATTGGGTTTGCTGATTCAATGAACCGTTCGCTAAGGCTAGGTGTCTGCGTCGCGATGCGTCGTGCAGGTTTCGCTGGTTTTCCGCGATCTGCGCCATTTGCGCTGACTGCACGTAACCGATCAAGCGCGGTTTCACGCACCTGCGACGGATCGCAAAAATTGCAAGTGTGTGAACATTTGAAACACTGAATATGAAACAAGTGGGAATCATGAGCAGTCGTCATTCAGCCATCACTATCAAGCAGAAGTGGCGGCAGGATTGGAGAACACCTTGCAGTATTGATCGGGCACTTGTGATTTCCGTGACCCGTCGCGTGAATCGCAGCGAATCGCGCAAATCGCGAAAATCAGCGACCTGCGACGGACTCGGGACTCAGACACCCACCCGAACATGGATGCATAGGCCGTGTTGCACTTGCACGTCTGGTTCTTCCCAGCCACATAAGGCCTTAATGCGTTTAACTGACTCTAACTCTAGCATTGTCCTACAGTTGGGTCCGCATACGCATTTTCAAGTAGTTCTGATTTGGTGAAAAGACAACGGATGGCTTCCATGTATTCCCGGCTTACTTTGGAAATTGCTGTTTCTCTGTAATGTGCTCCACTGATACTTCTGCAATTCTGAAACTGGCGTCGACATTGCAAATCATTTTAGGTGCAGCCGCCGCCTCTTCTGGTCGCGCTCGTGCTGGTAACAGTGGAGGGCTATGGCGTTTTTACACTGAAGACTCCACTGGTCTGAAGATTGGCCCTGTGCCAGTGCTTGTGATGAGCTTGGTTTTCATCGCGTCTGTATTCGTTCTACATATTTGGGGAAAGTTCACACGAAGCCGCGCTTAACTCGCAATCACTTCCTATTTATGGGTCACTGCTGTGTTCGTTAATATAACTTATATATCTCTTTAATGTGTTGTTGTTTGTAATAGTTTAAGATGTAAGAAGAACTTGTTTCATCATTTGTTGAACATGTATTCATGAATAATTTATACTTTTATTGTTCATGATGTCCACTGTATTTGCTTCTGAGAAATTAAGCTTGCATCTTCGCACTACATCTGGACGTTGGTTGTGCAGCATGAAGAAGGGTGTGTCGCAGTACAGGTCTAGCGGTTGCTTGTTTCAAGATTGACCTAGACCTTCGCAGTCTCTCTCGATGTTCTGCCGTCCGCTCATCCTACAAAATTTATCAAAATCAAAACAACCAAGAAATCCTATATTGAGCTCTTTTAACGTTCTGGGAAATGTTCAAATATCAGGTTATGATAAGTCCTTTTCATCGCAAAGTTTGGATCCTCGCCCGTTTTGTCGCAGTTGCGAAAGCGATAAACGCGCATGGGAGAGGTGAGCGATCTCGGTGAAGATTAGCTTTTATGATGACGGATAACAAGTAAGACATTAAAGCAGGCGAAAGGTTGCTACTGATTTCTACAGGGTGCGCCAAAATTACGGAGACAGCGATTTCGAGTCGCCTAGAATGAACACGCCACAATTCCAGGAAGCCAAAAATGCAGTAACGTTCACTGTTCAATAATGAATCGTAAACATCTGCCAAATCTCAGAAATTCCTTCGTTGGCACTTATACGGGCCTTGAGAAGCAGTGAGGAACCATCGGCGGTGGCACGCAAGGTAGTGCGTAGAATCCGTTCTACGTATTCTGAAGCAATTCTTCAAAATAATCCCCAAAAATGTAAAGTTCCGTGCAAGTTTCAGCTTGCAGAATCAATTCTACAGTGTAAGCCATTTATATAGAATCTGAAATGCTGACCAACTCGTTAAAAGTGATGAATTCGACAAAATTGGCTCTGACCCAGTTCAGCACCACCCTTGCCCTATGGAAATCCCTTCCTTATGAAAGATCAAACAATGTTTTTAAATCTTAAGATGGCAATTTGCTTGGGAATTCTCAAGTAATCTCCTTAATGTCCATCTCTCGTGACATTCGGCGGAACGAGTGCGCGAAGTGCCACCAAATTCTGTTGCGCACCATGCTGACATTGCTCGTGGCCGTCTCGGAAACACAGCCTTCCCATCCAGAATGAGTGCATTCGGTTCCTTACTCCTTGGAGCGTTTAGTGGATCCATGATTGGTACCCAGGTAAAAACCAAAACGCTGATAATTCTTGCGTGTTAACTTTACGACATCTTTCTTCTGAAGCACTTTTAGGACTGCTTTGGTAGTGCGCCTTTTTGTTATGCCATCGACTCGCAAATCGTGGATAAGTTTTTTTTTCTGCGAGGCGGCATTTTCATTCAGGTGTACCGTTGTTGTTCTTTTCATGCCTAACGGTACAATCTACAGCGTTCTGTTAATCGCGTTTTTTCCAGTTCTCTCCAAACACATCACACGCCGCCGGCATATCCTAATCTTATCATAAGCGTGCTCTATGCAGCAACACTTTACAGGTGATTGCGCAATGGGGAAGTTCACAAGAGAAGAAGAGGTTCTCCTCTCCAGTTATTCACCAGCGAACTCAGCAAGAAGCAGTGCACTGTTTTACCTCAATGCTGTGGTCATTTCACTAGCTCCGCTTTATCTCTTCTATGGAGTGCACCAAATGGAGGTAGCGTTGATTTCTCATTTAACAGAAAAGAGAAAAAGTGGAATGATCTGGCACACAATTTTTTCTGTTCGATTTGATTCCTCTCACTGAGAATCGATGTGGCGAGGCAAATAGATCACGGACCTTTTTGGCTTTGTGGAGCGTCTTTTAATTTTGGTAGTGATTGGTTCTGTTTAACGTTGCTTACATTTGTGATGCTGCTTTCAGTGTGATTAGAGGGGATTACTATAATAGATTGCTTCTTTCGGTACAGGTGCATTTCGTAGGTACTACGCTTCGCGTTTGTGAAGCAGGCGGTTCATAAAAATTGAATCACTGAAAACATGCGTCTAATTTTGTTCAGTTCGTTTGTTTCATTAACTCTCAAATCATTGGTGAGGACGATCAATGCATTACGGCGACATGTTCAGATTAGAATTTTTGCAGAGCTGTGAAATTGTGCTCGATAAATTGACGCATAGTATTACTTGTGCGGTTCGCTAGGACAGAAAGCAATTTTTTCGCGTTTTTTGCTGCTGAAACCTCAAGTCCACCGTTGTACATGAGTGCACCGGAAGTTGTGGCCCAGAGCGTGCAGCTGAAAATGAGGCGCGGTGAACCTTTTGAAAGATTTATTTACGATCAAGCAACCGATGAACTCGGCGAGAATCACGACCAGCAGATGCTCTGGGTGCTCCTCAAGAGCCTCGTGTCAATCTTCTTTTGTTCTCAACCCTTTTACCCTCTTTTATGGTTTGGGTTTGAATCTGTGCCACCTGAAGAACACCGCTCACTTAAAAGGATTGAATCAACCAACACTTCGTCCAGTGATAGCACAGGGCTTTACCCAAACGTTCGAAATGAAGGGAAACGATAGAAAAATCAGTTTCATCTCGCAAGAGCAGGGTTTTGTAATCTATATAGAAAAAACCTCTCATTCGCAAAAAAGTGATGAACTATGGCCCGTAGTTGAAGCCTTGTGCAAGCAATTTTTATGCGACGAAGGTCTTCTCGTGTGTTTATTCCGTTGCAATACAATAATTAGTTGCAAGAGATTCACCGATCGTTTGCTCGCGCAACCAGTGTAAGGCTGGTGTCAGAGTCCGCGATTTTTGCGCGCGATTTTCGCGATTTGCGCGATTTTCGCGATTTGCGCGATTTGCGCGATTTTCGCGATTTGCGCGATTTTCGCGATTTGCGCGATTTTCGCGATTTGCGCGATTTTCGCGATTTGCGCGACGGTCACGGAAATTACAAGTGCCCCATCCATACTGCAAGGTGTTCTCCAATCCCGCCGTCACTTCTGCTTGATGGTTATGGTTTAATGGAGACTGCTCATGATTCCACTTGTTTCATATCCAGTGTTTCAATTGTTCAAATGGGGCACTTGCAATTTTTGTGATTGGTTTGGTTTGATTCCTGAAAAAAAAAACGAACGATTCAAGAGCATTTCAATGAACTAATAGACATTGAACATGAAACAAGTAGAACCACAAACATTCGTCTTCCAATCTTTACTGCCAAGCAGAATTCGCAGCAGGATTAAACAACACCTCGCAGTATTCATCGGGCACTTCCAACTCCTGTGATCCATCGCAGGTTTCGCGAAAATCGCAAAAATCGCGCAAATCGCGAAAATCGCGAAAATCGCGAAAATCGCGCAAATCGCGAAAATCGCGGAATCGGACACCAGCCTAAAGGTAGATGGTATCGTCGTCCAACTCATACGATATGACGATTGTAGACGCATGTCAATACACGCATGCCCTTCTACGCACGTTTGATGACCAGTTTGATGTTACCGAAATAATACTACGCCTCAAATGCGAAATGCTCACTTATCGGGATACGTCGCAATATCTTTCCTTTCCTGTTTCAATATCTGTTGGAGACGGTTCACTAAAATTCACAAAATCATTCAGGTGGCTGAATCATGGATAGTTTGGATCATTTCTGCTGTTGCTTCGACGTACTTTCTTTCTATGGCTTGCAAAAACCAGAAGCGGCTTCTGAAGCACCAGTAAGCACGCTTTGCTTTGCAGCTAGTGTCAAAAATTCAATGTTTATCTGTTCAAAGGATTGTTATGAAGCGAGGTTCTGCAGTGGATAGAGAAATCAGTCAAAAATACGCCAATGACAAGAAAATGAGCACTAAGGAAAAAGAGGTAATACACATCAATACATTAATATTTTTCTTCTCATTAAGGTGTTGGAGTGCTTTCATGCTTTGCGCCTGAGGCCCTTTTTCTACGCGCGCCTTACGAGGGAAATGCAAGTTCCGCACCGCGTGCCGAAATACATGCGACACGGTCAATGCTGCCTGTGTCTAGCGTCGGCGCTTTATTTTCGGACTGGCAAAAAGATGTTGAAAATGAGCTTAACCAATTGCGCTGCCTTTTTCGTCACATACCTCTGTTTAGAGAACAGCCCAGAAGTCATGTAAAGCATTGCTAAGTTCAGTATTTGAAGGTGAATGCAGTGCTGTGCACCTCATTCGAATAGTTGCATCCATGTTTTTCCCTTTTTTGAGATGTAGATACATTGGTTGAAATATTTCCTAGTGTCTCAAATATCCTGTCAACTGTATGCTGCAAAAGATTCAGTGCTGATCTGAATTCTCCGTTATAGCAATGGTCCTAGGCACTCTGTTGTTTCGTGATGAAAAACAATTGTAAAGCAATTAGAAAGCGAAAAGCGAGAAAACAGTACATTTTCAATGGCGCGGAAGTCGGCGATTGGTGGTGGTTGAGCTGAAAGTGCGCAGTTCATGGAGCATTCATACGTTTTTGATTCAGTTTTGTTCTGACCTGAAGTATCTTGAAATGTCTGTTTTCAGGAGCGCGCTCTTTTCCGTAAAAATGAGGTTGCGGATTCAGAAGCGACATATTTGTCCATATTCTTCACCAATGTGCTGTTTCTCTCGATTATGTTGTTCTTAGCGTTCTTCCTACTTGCGAATCTCACACCTATTTTCAATTCTCTGCTTTCTGTCATTGGATCTGCAGGTCTTGTGGCATTCCTTTCTACTGCTAAGAATTAGGAAATATTTCAGAACTTTATCCCATACATTTCTGTTTTCTTTGTGACGGGGTTACAATCGCTGTTTAAATTATTTGAGGTTCTCCCTCTTTATTACGAAATTGTTGTATTTCTCGCAGTGAATATATTAAATAAAAATTGGTTTGTTTGGCATAGTGAGGTAGCCGTCTCATCGTAAGATACGTTGATTAAATAGAAGATGAAGACAAATTTCTTCACAGATCGTTTGACACAGGGAACAGAGTATGTCATTCGGAAATGAACCTCCTGAACCTCCGAGTTCCCCAATCTTCACTGGCGGGAAGCATCCACAGATGTGTAGAAATGGACTACAGGAGGACAGGGTGCTCAAAGTAGGTAAAAACGTTCCATACATATCTATCTCTTCTTCATATTTTCCATAACTAGTTTTTGGGGCGATACTGTTTTATGTTTGGGATCTTTTCGCTGCGAAAACGCCCCACCTCGCTTCGTTTGCCCAATATCTATTGCTTCTCTTGTTGCATACACTTTCTTGGCACACTCCCACTTAATCGTGTCGCTGCCCTTGACACTAAAACACACATATAGACTTAGTTTTTTATAAGTGGGTTGGATTAGATTGATATCGCGAGAATAATGGATTCACTAAATACAACTGTAGGAAAGGTAAGGTTTTGTTGGCTACAGGTCTGTCCTAAGTACACACAACTCGCTCTCTAGTCGATTCCAAATATGTTGTCACGCCTTGTTCCCAACGCGCGAAGCATGCCTACCCTGACTGATTTTTCATTATTATTGCGCATTGCGCCTGAAATATACTAGAGTGCAACTTCCATTTCATTCCCAGATTGGTAATATGCGAATACCACAAGGTCGATCAGTAAAAAAATTATTAGGGTCTGACTCCAAGGAGTTTTCAGTTGTGTGATCTCATTCGCTTTGCGTTGTAATTCCTTATATACAGCTAGTTAGTCGCCAACATGTTTTGAGAAGTGAAGTTCGTTTGAGTACATACATGAAGATCAAGTAAGGGATACGAACTGCTGCGTGTTTCCTACGCGCGCTGCCTCCTCACAAATCCGTCACCTCTATTTAATTTGTTTGTGGAAATAAATAAACGCGACGTACATATAATACCGTTGGTTACAACATGGGCGCACAACCCAAATCCCATGTTTTCACGCATCTATGGTGTCCGAGAAAGTTTTTTGTCTCTTGTAATTGCTTCAAAAACGAATTGGCATGGAGAACAAAATATGATAATATGATAATGAAAATATCATCACATCTATCACCTCTCACAAATGCATGAGCAGGTGTGGTTTGCTAGGACATAAGCGAATTTTCCGCTTTCTGCACGTGTAACTTTTCTCGCTGCAAGAACCCCAGGTCCATTCCCACATCAGTGGTGGCCCGTGAGAAAAATCCCACAGCGAGAAAAGTTTTTCGCGCGGGGACACTGAGAAATTAGCGGAGAAAGTTCGCTTTGTGTCCTTAGCTGACGCCAAATTCCCTATGAGCCGATTTTGTTACTGTTCATTCTGAAAGACAAAGGTGGGTTTTTACAGAAGAGCGTCATATTGCCTTCTTAACTGACTCTCCGCTCAATTTTTTGTCTAGGACTTGCTGATGCAGCATGAGGCCAGCGGATGAGGCGAGGCTAGAGCTTTAGCAAGCAGAATGAGTGCCAGTCGGCTATATCGGAATCGGGGCGCGGAGCGGCATCAGCTTCTGCCACGACATCTCGCGGCACGATGATGCGACTAAGCTGGAGAGTACGACTACTGGTTTCCCCTCAGTTCCCTGCAGCCCCCGATCCTGCCCCGACGATCGCGATTCACTCTCTTCAACGCAATCTCCAGCCGCTCTCCTTGCAGGTAAAATATTAAGACGGACTATAAACTCGGAGCACTCCACAATTTCGCCTCAATGTCCCAGCTACGCTGTCTGTTAACTGAAAAAGGGGGTCGAGAAGTGGAGTACGAGGTATGTCGACGTCTGGCAGTGCCAGTTCTATTATTGTGCTTTACGAAAAGTCACGGCCAGCTGAAGTTCCCTGGCTCAAACTAGTAAGTAGGATCAAGCGTCGGCGAACATGCAAATCGTAGCTACAGTATGGAGAAAAGGCTTTGCCTGGCAAAAAATCAACCATAGGAGAGCGGTTATAAGTATTTATTACTGGCAGAGAATTTCGAGTGTGACTTTTTGCTACTTGCACTCTGTGGGAAAAGTAGCAGTAGTTAAGTTTGTGAGTGGAATCTTGCGTGAATTATCGCGAAGTTTCGATCAAAGCATTTGCCGAAAAGAGCGTGCCTTGTTATGTTCCGTTCAGATTTCTTTCGATCCCGCTCGTTCGAACAAGCAGTCGTGTGCACTGTATTGGAGGGGCCGAATCTCCTAGCTGCATATGGGTTCGTCTCACGAATCACATTACAGATAATCTCATCCTAACTGAACCGTAAGTAGGATAGATTGTGGAACACTTCATCTGTCACACTTCTGTCATACTCGTTTCGTATCCAAGGTGTGACCTTATTCCTCGCTGCACAAAAGACGGTATTGTGGAAGATCTTTACACAGGGGTGCTAAGTGAGTATGAGTATTGTATGGCTCCTATATCAGGACAGGAAGTATGGGCGATGTTTCGAATATTTTTTTTTTTTTTTTTTTTTTTTTTTTTTTTTTTTTTTTTTTTTTTTTTTTTTTTTTTTTTTTTTTTTTTTTTTTTTTTTTTTTTTTTTTTTTTTTTTTTTTTTTTTTTTTTTTTTTTTTTTTTTTTTTTTTTTTTTTTTTTTTTTTTTTTTTTTTTTTTTTTTTTTTTATGTCGAATACTTGAGGTATTTTGTCAAGTTTTTAGATTATAGTCGCCTTAGTGATTTTTTTCTTACTATTTCGCATAACTTTGTTTTTTAAATCTGGTCATTTCATGTCTACGACGACACAGTGAAAGTGTTTTTCATCGATGAAGGGCTCGAGTCGTGGGTGTTGAAAGATGTGAGTCAACGATCTTATCTTGTGACATTTGTTGCTATTCCATAAGAAAAGCTCTTTCGCTCGAGAATCTACAAAGTTCTCATATGTATCCTACTACATATTTATATTGGGCTGAGTCTACTTATCGGCCTGTTATTCTGCCATGAGTTTCGTACCACGGTCGACCTTACGAAAGAGCCCATGATATCGGTCTCTCAATGGTTTCTTCCAATCTTTTTCTTTATATTCACTCTCCAATATACATCCACTTCCATTTTCGAGCAGAATAATCGCAAATTTCGCGGAATCGCCTTTCAGTGGGGGGGGGTGTATGATGTGAAATTTCTTTTCTCAGGCAGCCCAGATTCTGGGAAAAGTGAACAAAGGCTTATGATGGACTGGAGTTCGAACGGAACGGACGAAGCGTGTACTAAGGGGATCGAGCTAAACAAAAATTCGTAGTAGGGCTCCACGACAGCCGGAGCCCAGGAAAAACTCGGGTAAAGATTAGAGAAAAGTTGGAGGTCCATTTGTGATAACGCACTGATCGTGAGTGAGAACGAGGTGAGTAGAGTTGAAGTCAGAAATTGGTGATTTTCCCTTCACCGATGTGACGGGCCAACCACTGCGTTTGGGAAATTTTGGGGTTGAGTACAGTCCCATTCCTGGAATGGTTCTTCATACGAACCCGTCAGTCACTCCTCCGGTATTCTTCTAGTCCTACGTTTGTTCTTCCCTCTCTATCCACTCCTATCTTTCATTTATGAGAATTTCGTCAAGTGGAGTGTACGAATAGCTGCTGGAACATCAAAGCAGGAAAGGGAAAGGGAAAAAAACGTGTAAGTTTTTAAGCTTTCTTAAATTCGGCAAAGATTCTCGCGCTTCCTAAAGGAGACTAGCGAAGAACGAGAGGTCACGTGCTAATGAGAGGCGAAGTGTGCACCTCGGTGGACGAAGAAGCACACTAAAACAACTGTTCTCCGTTCAGTGTCGCCGAAGGGAATTGCAATTTGCTAGATCAGTTGCAATCAGTTAGAGGTGATGTTAGAGACCGACTATCAGGTCATTAGAAGTTCTGTCGTTTTTTGTCGTTAACTTCGAATGCACCCACCATGGCTAAAGCTAAGCATTTTCAGTGGAGATAAAGAACGTTGAAATCTACACTCCCTCGCAAATAAGAAGTAGATTTAATCTAAGGCAGATTTTACTATGAAAAGGCAATATATTAGGTTGGTAACTTTGAAATGTCGCTTCCTTTAGTGGCTTTGTTTCTCAGCTGAAACTCAACCTCGTAATATGGGAGACCATCCATTCGAGAGAGCAATTCAGTGCGCATATTGCGAAACCTTAGCCGTCAGCGAGCGGATGTTCTTTGAGCCAAAACTTTTGCTCGAACATGATTGATCAAGCAAAGAAAAACAGCCAACGAATCCCACTCATTACGTGCAAAACATTGAGCAGCAACACTCAGTTTCTGGTGCACTTTCAGCCATGGTTTTTCAGCTCTTCTAAGACTGAGGTAAAGGAGCTGATGACGATGGTCGTGGATTCTGACCTCTAGCTCCAGATGAAGGAGAAATAAAGAAGGCCAACGAATTGAGTCCTCGACATACCGCACAAAACTTGCATGGAGATTCAGTTGTGTCAACAAAAAAATTTGAAAGTTCCTACGTGCGACTGTTAGGGCCTTCCAGGAAAGAAAATGGGTTCGGCCTATTCTGAGCGACACGAGCAAGCAGTATTGGTTGCCAATACTTGAACTCTGCTGCATAACTCCAAGAAGAAGAAGGTTCCTGACTTCGTTGAAGGCGTGTTTTACAGAAGGATGTTCCCCGATAACAAAGTGAGAAGATGGCCGTGGTTGGCAACAGATGGGCAGCTGAGGGCCTCTCCGAAACCGGACAGCCACAGAGAAAAAGTCTTGCTACAGTGTGGTGAAGCAGTATAAGAATGGCTTACTATGGAGAGCTGATTGTGCGTCATATAGTTACAGCTAAACTCTGCGCACAACATCCCGCAGGCGAGGGTCGGGCTCTGCGTAGTCAAAGGGCAAATTCGGTCATTGAAACATTTTGGCACGATAATGCAAGATCACATGTCGCGAAAATTTTGCAACAAGAAATCGAGGAGTTGGGCTGGGACGCTCTCCCTCTCGCGCCATATAGCTCAGACCTGGCACCGTCCAACTATCACTGACCAGGTCAGCGCAACACTCCTTAGCAGCAAACCAATTCGATAACCGCGACGACGTCAAAATTTGAGTACCTAACTTCTTCGAGTCGTACCTGGAAGAGTTCTACGAGGTAGACCTCCATGCCTTGCATAACAAAAGGTGGAGAGTGGATGACACACATAAAGGAAATAAATTAGGTTGATAAGCTTTGGTATAGCTTTTATACTTAAAATAATCTTTGATCAAAAACGACATTTCAAAGTTACCAACCTAATATAAAGGGTAGAGGTGGCCTTCGAAGAAAAAACTATGAAAACGGCCCAGAATACGTGTACACCTTCTTTGCCTGCTGATTTCGCATTGATGTGACTCTCATCGGTGCTGCCCTCTTCAACGCTAACGCTCTCTCTGCTAAACGGCTAGAGGGTCAGACAGCGAGAGGGAGGCGTACCGCGCCGACAGAACCTCGGGAGGGCCATGTTAGGTCGCCGTCGGTGGTATATCCTTCGCTGTGAATAGCGTGTCGGTCCGCACCCTTTGGGGTCCGCTAGATGAGTTTCCTTTTTCGGCCTTCGACCTTGACCGAGAAATCCTTCTTAAATCCAGCTGCTAGAGTGTTGAGTTTGGGGGTGAGCAGGGTCAACCGTCACGTTCGAACATTTTCGGGATTTTTGCGACCCCCTAGCTCTCGAGGGGGTCCAGTTGCGACCCCCTGTTTTTGTTAATAAGAGTGCTAGACATGAATCCGTTGCGCCAGAAAGCGTCTGCGCGTCGTCGCGTCGGCCTTGGAGCGCGGCAGGTATCACCCGGGCG